GCTGTGGCTACAGGCGAGATTGACGTTGTCTTTGACTGCCATCCAAGAAAAGTTTGCGCGCATCTTGCTGAGTGTGGCCTGTGAACTGTGGTTGCGCGGGCAAATTGCCAGTGTTGAGGATGTCCTCCAGCAGACGGCAAGAGCTCTCACAATTCGACTGGCAGAGAAGCTCGCCCAGGCGATGAGCTCGCTGATGAGATTGGCTGAATCCATGGTGACTCCAGAAACTGAATGCCTGTTGTATGCCACTTACTGGTTTCGGCCCATCCTGTCTGAACTCATTGGCTCGGCCCGAGAGAGCTCTGAGGTGAATCGAAGTCGAGCGCCGAGTGGCCCAGTTAAAGTCCTGGTCACAGATCGGCCTCATCGACGCACTACTGGGTTAGTGGACCTTACGAGTGGTGCCTCTGCCCTACTGGCATGGTTCCCGGCTAGCTGGGCCAGCAAAATTGCTCCCAAACTTCTCGAGAATGCTCCTGAGAATGCGCAGAAACCACAAGAAATCAACATCACGTGCCCGAAACGTTCCTGTGACGAGACTCCAGTGGAGGGAACAAAGCAGCTACTCCAGGCAGTTAAATTTGCTGCCAAAAACATGCCTGGTTTTCGCCTTGGATTGGATGAAGACTTTCAAATGGCTGGATGTTTCCAGGAGCTCATCCATGGATATACCACAGGGCTCGTTGAAGCATACATGATGCGAGGTCTTCAACCGTTGGGACAGAATCGCACTACTCTGGAAGTGATCATACCCTCTCAAGTAGGGCTTACACCTGAAAAGTGGAAAGAAACAGCCACACTGTGCCCACTTGATTGGCCTTCCAACTACAGTCTGTTGCGATTGTGGCATACCAATGGCAGCCTTCATCAAACGGAAGCGCGACTCAGGAATCAACTGTTACACAGCCATATGTTTGCTGAGTGGACAGTGCATCTCCACAGATTTGCAGAGCGAGTTTTATTCCAGCAACCTGCAGTTTATGTAGCGGGACATGCCTTGCAAACCAACCTGCGGGAACGAAACTTCCCAGACAGGAAAGTCCGCAAGAGAGTCTCTCCTGAAGATCTGGACGAACATCAAAGGGCGATCCGAGCGCTTCATCAGCGTGCTATTGCTCAGCAAGGAGTGAACCCAGTTTCGTTTGGACTCACCAACGAATGGAACGACACTATCACATCGGATAAAAAGCATTATTTGGAACATTTCACGAGAGGTATGACATGATCCCCAGCTCACCCCTGCTCGCACCACTTATACCCTTTCTGTGTCCACCCCTTCCCCCCCTTCCTCTTTTGTCTTATTTCGGTTTCACTCCCCATTGCTCCCTCACACAGTATTCGGCCTTTGTTTCATCAACAATGGTGGTGGGAGTTGACCTAAATCTCTATTTGGTCCCGTCGTCATGTCTACTTAAGGTTACTGTCCATACTGGTGTGTCTGTCCAAAGACGTGACAGGTGCACTGGTATGCAGTAGGGGACACAGCTCTTCCTCATTTATAATTGTTAGGTTCATGATGCTGTACATGCCTGGCCCCTACCTACTCAGATCTGTCAACAGTTGGTAGCCGCATTTGTAGTTGTGTGTGAGTGCCAACTTAGGCATAACAGATCGGGCAGCACGATTTCTCTTTGCACTAGTTTTCAGAATGTGTTGTCCAGTCGAGAGCTTAGACTATACTAAGGTCGCCTCCACCATGAAGCCTATTGCACGAGCGCACGCTCTCGCAGCCTTTGCCTGACAATCATCGATGGGTAATGAAACTGTTGTTATTCTCCCCAGACTTAGTCTTGACGAGACACCCACTTTCCCACCCTTCCCACTAGTTAAGGTATCTGAATTCGTTGACTAATCCCTAGGTTTTGCCCTTAGCTGAGCTACATTAGGTGTTGGTGCCTTGTTATTTGGTTCTGTTTTTTTGTTGCCTGTTCCCTGCCTGACGTGGCCCTCCCTCCCCCTCGGATGGTCCTCTTTGGCGCCTTGGCCCAGGTTTTACTGGTCCCTCCCTCTGGGTATCGTTGCTTCCGGCGACGGCCTGGTTGCCTTGCCTCTGTGCGTGGAGTGTTTGTTGCGCATTGTCTCCCCTCCTCATCATGTCTCATGGCAACAAAGGCCTTTGGCCCTGTGTGGGGATCTTTCCCTCTACACCATGCTTCATGTGTTGTTGGGTGCTGTGTGCTCCCTCACTGAGGTATTCATCATTGTATGATCCTTGGCCCCTTTTTGGACTCCGCTAAGGCACTGTCGTACCCCTTCTAGTGCGTGTGTGTCCTTTCTCACTCTGTCCTCTGCTGCCTCCTGGCTCCTCTCCTCGCTTTCTCTGTGTGGCTGGTGGCGTTGTGTGTGTTATGCTTTGGCCGCTCCCCCCTTAGTGCTTCCCCCCATGATGGCAGTTTTCTTTTGGTTGGCTTTTTGTCGTTTTGCTTCACCTGTTGCCTGGATACCGAGGTTACCGCTCTACATCATAACTTTTCGTTTCACCTTTGCTACATCAGACTCATCTGGTAGTGACTAAGGATTTGTCCGAGGTGGGGCGTTTTTGTCACCGTCCCCCCCTCTCCTTGTTTCCCCTTTGAATTCGTTTGTTGTTTGGTTTGGTTGAGTCTTGTGGCTCTTTCTTTGGCTGTATTGGGGAGGGCCCTTCTCGCTCTGTTCTGTTTCTGCGTTTTTTCCGAGAGGGGCGGTAGATTCCCGGTAGAGCCATGGACTAGGCTGCACTGCAGTGAGCTCTACTGGCGCTGTCCAGTTGTGCTTCCTGCTGTTCAGTCTGGAGCGCCCGAGTGCAGCAAAGCCTGCCCACATGGTTCGTTGTGCGGATATTCTGTACTGCCCTGGCAATGGCCCACTCGGTGGGAGAGAGTGGCCTCGTCTGGAAAACACAGCTAACATACGGTGCATCTGGTCCTCTCCGCAGGACTTGCTGGGACGATGACGCCTAGTGACTCCTGTGTGAGACCTAGTGCTGACGCAGTGAACCACTTCAACCTTCATAGTTTAGGGGAACGAGTTTGACAGCAATGCGAATGCGACTTTTGCATACATAGCGGCAGTATCATACTGGAAGTGCTCACGAGCCCATGCTATGGTCGGAAGCTTCATCTGTCTGTCATGGCCGTATTGTGCCGGTCAGGCCTATAGCCACCTTTTTACCCATGGTCTTAGGGTCTCGGGCCCATTGCGCTCTGACGGTTCCTGCGAGTGCTCACACCATTTTGCAGGCTGTCAAGTGCTCTCCTCCCCACCTAGGGGGGGAAATAGATTACAATCTCTTGCGGTGGTGCATATTGACAAAACAGACTGCCGTGCATACGCTGAACGATACAGAGTGAACAGCAGCGATGCGAAGTTGCTATTGACAAGACGTCCATACAGGCGGCCCTTTGTCGTGTTACACATCAGTCTGCCTGCAAATTGGATTCGTTTCTCTCTTCTCAGGTAAGACAGTCTGGACGATCGTTTACTATACTCTACGCACTGCCGCAATTAATTAGTTTGCATGTTTTTGAGGATGATACAGTGGCTTAGGTCACTGTATCCAAGGCAAATCTCAAGTTTTGGTTTGGTTTTTTGTTGGGCCCTGCCCCGTTCTTTGTTGCTTCGCTGTTTTGCTTTGTGGCGAAACGCAAATCTGGCTGGGGGATTTGCGGGTCGTTTTTGGTTGCGTTTTTTGTTTTGTTTGGTTTGTTTTTCGTGATGATTTGCCAGAGTTTTTGGACCACACGTGTCCTTTACTTTACTGCTTCTCACCGCTTACGCAATTGTAAGGACCGTGCCTAGTGCGATCGGCCAAATCGGAGGAAAAAAAAACAGTGGAGCATTCAAAACAATCAATTGAATGGAAGCCGGCCACCTGCGCGAAAACTCACAAACTCCACAGCACGTGGATGTTTGTGTCATCCTTCCTGCCTTTTGTGGTTTCATGGTTTCTGGCGAACTTTTGAAGCAGCTGGGTGCGTTCCGAGCGAGATGTCGCAACCCTAAAAACAGGATTGCCACACGCTCCAACGAAACACAGGACGGAGTAGCGGAGTTGCGCGGAGTAGCGAACAATTGCTGAATGTTGCCTAGGTGGTGCTGCATCGCAAATCGCCACATTGGAACTGAGAACGGAGACAGCTGACACCACATGTGCGCTTTCAGGTTCCATTTCTGGAGCCGGAAAGCCAATTGACAGGCTTCGCATGTGCGGTCTCCTTTGTTCCAGTCTGTGTGCTGGTTGTTAAATGATGCAGTTTTAATTTTGCGTTGCTCGGGCGTTAGGTTCCTGCGCGAAAAACAAAGCCATCCACTGATTGCCCAAATGATGAAACCAGCCGAAAGCAGTGAGTGACCCACCCGCTGCAAATGTCGCATCCAGTAGCTCCGGTAGCCGTGATAAACCCTGCACCAGTCAGTCCGTGCAGTTTCAGCAAGCTACTAGGGCTAACGTGGGGTACCCACGGTGCATGACATTAGCCATTGTTAAGACCGTGGTTCTGAAGTTTTGTCACCATGGGGTACCCATGGTTGACTACTACCCATTGTAGCTAATCCTGTGGTAAGCTTGCCGGTGTCCATGAGGGAAGTGAGGAGGTGGGGGTGATTATGCCGGAACTCTTTGAAAAAGATGATGGCCTTATTGTGTAGGGTCGGTTAGTTCTAGCTGTGCAGACTTTTCTGCACGAGCGAGCGCCGCGTCTCCGTAATGTAATCGCACTCCCCTCTCTTGTTGTCCTTGCGTCTCTGTCGCCAAAACACCAAATTGTTGTTTGATGTTTTTTCTACAAACCTCAAACAACCTTCTTTGAAACAAACACATTTGCAATGGATGTCTTTCAGTTGCTGTGTTTGTTTCTGTTTTGAGACAAACTGTGGTGCATGTTTTGTATCTGTTTGGTATCTTAAATTTTTAATACTGAATCCACATCATTTATGTTGTGTCCGCAACATACTCTTTCAAGGTGTGGGAGGGTGGGACCTCAAATTTTTATGAGGAAACCAATTAGCATGGGGGGCATTTGATGGATTTTCATCGCATTTGGGCGGAGTGCCCTGCTGACACGTCTTTGAAACTACCGTGGGAACATGGATTCTGGAAGACTTTTTTCGAGGGTCCTACTGATCCTAATGGTATTCAAGACTGGACAGTTGCAGATCCTCCACTTTTTGTGCCGTGTGCTCCCCGTGCTGAAACGGCGCCTGCCAAGAAGCTTCGAGTGTCAGAGCCCTTGTCGTGGCATCACATTGTGCGTTCAGGTGCTGAACAGACTTGGAAAGACAAACGTGAAGCTGACTTTCAAGTGGCGTTGCGTCGCTGGCATGATGTTTTGATTCTTTTGCCTTGTCACATTGTTGTTGTTCAACAACTTTTGCATTTGAAGACCACTGCAGAGAGATTGCGCATGCTCAGAGATGTTTTTTGGAAGAAGGCGCCCAGCACTCTTCGAAAACGTGTGCATTCATTCTTGAGGTTTACATCAGACTTGGAAACACGTCGCATTGCATTTCCTGGTACTGAAACAGATTTCTATGCTTTTTTGGATGGACTCAGAGTGGCCGGAGCCCCTGCATCGCGGATTCAGAGCATCATACAGTCTTTGATTTTTGTGCAGCATGTTGTAGGTGTGCAGGAACTTGAGGCCTTGACGTCATCCAGGCGATGTCTTGGTGTGTCAGGTTGCCGTAACACTGGACCCAAGCGTCAGGCTGATCCATTCAAAGTTTCAGACTTGGTTGCATTGCACAGTGTTCTTGCAGACAGCAACAGGGACTCTTGGGATCGTTGCATGGCTGGTATGATCCTTTTGACAGTTTATTCACGCAGTCGATGGAATGATTTGCAACAGGCAGAGTCCATGTTGTTGGATTGTGGTCCAGACGGAGTGGTTGCCTATGCAGAACTGAAGATAGCCGATCATAAAACGAAACATTCATCTGCCTTCAGAAATTGCTTCTTGCATGCTTGTGCTCCGGCTGCAGGTGTCGTGGATGACGACTGGATCAACACATGGGCGCAAGTCCGCTCTGAGCTTGGGATTTCATTTGAGGCTGGCCATCCGACTATGCCAGCACCTTTGGAGGACGGTGGAATCAGCATGAGACCCCTCAGCAGTGAAGAGATGAAACATTGGACTTCCATCCTTCTGCGATCAGTTCAGGTTGAGACTGAGGGACGTAGGCTGACGTCACACAGTTGCAAGTGTACGTTGCTGTCATGGTGCTCGAAAAGAGGATTGCCCTGGGAGGATCGGCTTGTGCTTGGAGAACACACTTCAGCAGTGCGATCTGCTCTGGTGTATGCGCGTGATGGCTTGGGCCGTCCGTTGCGCATGCTTGAGAAACTGCTGATGGAGGTGCGGATGGGCAGGTTTTTGCCCGATGCTACAAGGAGTGGTAGATTTCCAGGGCCCATTGCAACGGAAGTGCAGTGTGATGATGGGGACCAAAGTGAGTTCTCATACGTCCCAAGTTTTGGAGATGGTGAAGTTGATGACGTTACAGACAGCCACAAATCCCATGTTGACCTTGTGAAACATGCAGAGCTACTAGACACAGGTGCAGCGCGATCCGTTGCAGGTGTGGCATGCAAAGTGGAATCTGCCGAGTCAGTATGGGACTTGGTGGGCAGCAATGAGGTGATCGACTTGGACACTTGCTCAGATGAAAGTGGATGCTCAGTCGCGACGACTTCGTCCAGCTCAGATGAGGGAGCTGCTGAACTTAGCAGCGCCAGGAGACCAGTGCATCCTCCTACAGTGCCAGGTCAGTTGAAATTGATCCAACATAAAAAGCTCAAGACGTTGCACCTGATGGAACAGCAGAATCAGAGGGTGATGCTTTGTGGAAGAATGGCTGAGACCAGCCGCTATGAGAACGTTCAAGAAACAAGGTTCGACACTCCGTGTTGCCACACGTGTCGGCGGAAGATTCCGGAGTATGCTTGATGTCATGGCGAGCGCTTGAAAAGGATCTTGTCAGCTTCAGTTGTTCAGTGCAATCCTGTACATTTTTATTCAGATGTCAGTTCACTTGCCAATCAACTCTTTGGTGCATCAATGTGAGCTTCATTTGAATCCAGTGCATGTCAGAAACTTTTCATCGATGCAAATCATAACATGTCACAGCTTGAGAGGAGTGGCGTTCTCAGGTATGAGAATCATGTCGCACCTTAACTCAGATTTTAATGTGACGTCCTTTGTTTGATTTGCTTCACAAGTGGTTGCCAGGGTATCTTGTCAAAAACTCATTTGACCACCCTGCACTTGGAGTCAGCGGCCAATCCATGGCAAGTTATTTCATGTGCGCCCTGGGCTCAATCATCCACCAAACAGATGGTGGGAAACATGAACGGAGACATCGAATGGCCCATGAAACGTCAAGTGAAATCATGTTTACTTGAGATCAGATTTTGTTCATTTTAAAAGCGACCCTGATGAGGGACACTATTTCTTCAGCATGAAACCACATAATCAGATCCATGCGTTCAACCTGACAGGCATGCATATTTAGGTACTCACTTTTCCTGAGGAACTTAGAAACTGTCAAGGATTAACTCGCAGAGTGTCAACAGGAATCCATCGATAGTGAGCGCCGGTGCAGATCCTTAAAGAAATTGCTGTGCTGCCATGTCATTGATAGATTCAGAAGCTGCTTTTCAGAAACGATGTGATGAGTTGATGGACGGACTTCATGACCTGTTCACCCACCTTCAGATATTGACTTTTTCGAGTTTGGCGTTTACAGTTGGCACGCCGCAACAGGCGGTTTCAGAACATGACATGCAAAGATTTGCAGATCGAGTTATCCAAGGTCCTGCATCCCTGGCCGAAGTTTCAGTTGTTAGGCGTATTCACTTCGAAGCCCAGACATTCGTGATGTCAGATCTCAGGAAACAGGCGGTTGCAGGTGACACTTCTGAACCATCGAAGTCCTTGCCTTACGTCGAGAAGAGGCGACGTCTGGAGGCCCAACAAGCTAGGATCACTGGCACTTCACACATGCATGAGCAAAGGGCATCGCATGGCCTCATTGATTTGTGTTTTCACATTGTTGAGTCGGGTGCCTTGCTGTATGTGGCACCGTCCAAGTGCAGTTCGAGGGACTCTGAGATCCAAACGGATGCAAAGACTAGACAGAAACAGTTGTTGACCCTTGAACAGGGGACGTTGAAGGCCGTGTCGGCCGATTCATTGCCAACGGTGGACATTGGCACGGAAATGAAATTGATGTATGCACTGCAGCGTCGTGGATTGGCATTTGATCTTGTAGGATTGATGTCGTTTGATGCCCATTCTGAGTGGGTGAACAAGCTCTTCAGGGCACTTATGGCAGACACCCCGGCGAACTTCCAGGCGCTCAGTTTGCAACAAATCATCCGTGCAGACCAAGAAATGTTTCTTTTATTGGCTTCAGAATATCATGGACCACTCAAGTCACAGATGGTGGATGGTGAGCCTCCATTGGATGCGCAGCTCCGTGTTTACATGACAGATCCTAGGGTCAACATGTACCTGGTCCCTACTCCGGCTAGCCAAAAAAGACCGGCTCCTGTGAGCACAAGTGCTGGAGACAAGCCGTCCTCGCCTCCTACGAAGAAACCACGTCAGAGCCCAAAAGCACCAGCCCAGTTACCGGCCGAACTGTCGGGATTTCACACCAAGACTGCCGACAACAAGCCGCTGTGTTGGAACTTCAATTTGAGCAAAGGCTGTGCGAATGCCACCAAGCGGGGGCGCTGTCGTTTTGGTTTTCATACATGCATGAAGTGCTTGAAAGGTGGCCATGGGGCACACAAGTGCCATAGCAGTTGACAGGAGGAGATTGCATCTCCACAACATGATGGTGGTAATTCAGGAACACCTGTAGCCCCTGGGATCTCAGTGACTCCAGCGCAAGAAGTTGTGGATGATGGAAGTTTTGTGCATGACACAGCAGCTGAAGCGTTGCGATCTAGCAGTGACAATTCAAGATGCATCATTTTAGAAATTTTTGCTGGCAGTGCTCGTCTTTCCAAGGCTTGCAGGAAACTTGGATTTGAGGCTGTAGCTGTTGACCAAACGAAGGATAGGTCTGAGCAGTTTCCAATTTTTCAAATTGATGTAACAGACTCCCAAAGCTTGAGTGCCTTAGAGAGTTTCATCGATGTAGAGAAAGATGCAATTTTACATGCGCATTTTGCGCCATCATGCGGAACGGCGTCTCGAGCCAGGGGACGTCCAATACCTGGCGAACATCCCAAAGCCGGGCCTCAACCACTCAGGTCCGAACGTTATCCAGACGGATTGCCAGGCCTCAGTTTTCATGACCAAGAGCGAGTAGACAAAGCAAATGGTAGCTACAGTGCAACGGTACATTTGATTCTCAAACTGATTGCACATGGCATCTCAGTCAGCATCGAAAACCCCAAAAATTCCTTTTTCTGGAAACACTCAGATGTTGCAAAGCTTTTGGAATCATTTGGTGCTCGACATTTTTCGGTTTTTCATCACTGTATGCATGGCGGCAAACGAGACAAGCAAACTGCATGGTGGAGCTGGAACCCTAGAGATGCTGAGAACGACCTTTTTAGTTCTCTTGCGCTGCAATGCGATGGAAATCACAAACATGAACCCTGGCGTCCCTACAAAGATGCCCATGGCCAAACTGTTTTTCCTACGAAAGAGGAAGCTGCATATCCGCAGTTGTTGTGTGATCGCATTGCGTGCATTCTCAAGGACGAAGCTCTTCGTCGTGGCTTTACTTTTTCTGAAGACCTGGAACAACAAATCTTGGAGGTGCCAAACGTTGCCAGCCGACAGTTGTTTACAACGCAGCCCAAAGGGCAGAAGTTGAGACCGCTGGTCTCTGAATATGGAAGGTATGTGACACTTCTTGCATCGACATCAAACGACTCAGAAGTGCAGAGTTTTGTACAAAAACTCCCCAAAGGAGCCAAAGTTTGTCATCGTATTCTTTTTCCAGGGGGTGTCGCTCGAGATGACATGGAGAGCAAATATGAGGAAGTTTTGCAAACTGAATCATGGAAGGCTGGTGAACCATGTGAACTCTTGCAAATTGGCATCCCACGTGAACCTGCTGACTTCATAAGTGATGCAATCCGAAAGGGTCATCCAAGAGACATCATTGCACAGGTACCCAATGAAATCAGAGCAGTTGTGCGTAGCATGCTGGACGGAGACATGGCGGGGCGCTTCAAAACAAGAGCCGCATTTTTGAAGAAGTGGCTCAAACGGTCCCTTGAGTTGAAGGATGAGGAGCAAGCCTTGCACCGTAAGTTGCCTCTTCATCTGCAGCGTATTCTTGAAGGAAAGCGCCTTCTTCTCTGGCGTGAAATCCTGGTTGATTTGCAATACCCGGATGTTGCAGTGATTGATGATATGTGCAGTGGTTTCAAGCTGACAGGGTGGGCACCATCCACTGGTGTGTTCAGGCCGAACGTCAGGAGGCCGTCCCTTGGAATACAACAGTTGATCAACATGTCGAAAGGATTGAACGCATCAGTGGTCAATTCTCTCCAAGGTGCCGCTCCTTCAGAACATGATCAGTTTGTTTGGGACGAGACTATGACGGAAGTTGACAAGGGATGGTTGTCTCCTAGCTCCCTGGAAGGGGAATGCTTTGTTGCAAAACGCTTTCCGGTACCTCAGAAAGACAAAGTGCGACTTGTGGATGACTTCACAATTTGTGGTGTGAACGGTGCCTACGGGCTCAGAGAGAAGCTTCGCGTCCAAGCGGTGGACGAACTCTGTGCTTACTTAGCATTCATGTTGGACCAGGCCCCTGAGGGATGCCTTCCAAAGCTCACTGGCCGCACTTACGATTTGAAGTCGGCGTACAAGCAGTTTGGAGTAGACCAGTGGCATGCCGACAGGCTTAAAATTGCTGTAAAGCGTCCTGGTGGAGGGGTTGGCATCTTTGCCGCATTGGCACTGCCGTTTGGAGCCTCCGGTTCGGTGAGTTCATTCTTGCGGGTGGCAGCCAGCCTCACTTACATAGGAATAGTTGCTCTTCAAATCTTGTGGACAAGTTTTTTCGACGATTACACTTGTGTTTGTGTGGACGGAGAAGATACCAACGTGTCTTTCTATGTCGAATCCCTCTTCCGCATGTTGGGAGTTTGGTTTGCAGAAACAGGTTCAAAGGCGACCTCCTTTGGGCCCTCCTTCAAGTCGCTTGGTGTAGTCTTCGATGTTGGTGCCATACATGATGGCACGTTCTCTTTGCAACATACTGAAAGCAGGAAGTCCGAGCTGGTGCAAATTCTTGACAGTTTGATAAGCGCGCAAAGGTCGACGCCCAAAGAGCTTGAGAGATTGCATGGCAGGTTGATTTGGTTCAGTGCGTTTGTCTTTGGCAGGATGATGAATCAACTTGTGAAAACCATCTCCCTTGAGTCCTTGCAACGAAAGAAGGTGATCCACTTCACCTCAGAATTTCTCCAGACCTTGACAGACTTGAAGCATGCGATAGGGTCCTCGAAGCCAGTCGTGATCTCCAAGACACTTTGTACCACTTGGTACGTCTTTACTGACGGTGCATATGAACCTGATTCAGACATTCTTGCCAGTATAGGTGCAGTCTTGATTTCACCGACGGGCACTCCAGTTCAGTGTTTTGGTGAAGTTGTTCCCAGAACTTTGGTGGACGAGTTGTTGCAGCATTCTTCTCATCCTATCTACGAACTGGAGGTGCTTCCGGTTGTGATGGCCACGAGACTTTGGATGAAATTTCTGATGGGGTGCCCCACAGTATACTTTCTTGATAACGTTGCGGCCCGAGCAACGTACATCAAAGGTGTGGGCGCTACACCTTCCTCCATTATCATGCTCAAGGACTTTGTGCGTTTGGAGGCCAGGCTGAGAATTTACTCATGGTTCGGTAGAGTGCCGAGCCATTCGAATGTAGCAGATTCTCCAAGCCGACTCGTCTTTGATGACCCAGTCCT